GATCTCCCATCCAGCTCCTTTTTAATCTCCTAATGATTGGCATGTCAGTCGTAGCCCTGTCGTTTATAATTCTGTTTGTGTATCCGTGTAGTTTGACATGAAAACGAGAGTAGTTTGTGTTGGTCTATAGTTGGTTGTCGTAAGTTGTTATGTCAAGTTTTTTTGTTGACGTGCCAGGGAACCCGTTATTAGTCGTAAAGTTTTGGATTGAAATGACTGTAGTTTTAGTAAGTCCGTCTTTTTTGCCAAACCGTAAATATGAGATGCGTATGCCCAGATGGGTTTGAGTAGGTAAGTGTATGTATTTAGTTTTTGTCAAACTTTCAATTTCGATTTAGAAAAAAGTGAGTACAGTTTTCCAGTCGCTTGTTTAAGGTCTATCGTTTCATTTTTATGTGTGGGCCCCAGGTCATCCTTCTGTCCAATATTAGTCCCAAGTAACGTATTGTGTTTGTCTGAGGAATTTGGTTCTCTGCTATATAAACTGGTGGGCACTTTTCTCGTCGAAGTGTAAATGTTATATGCACGCTGGAGCGCCTCGACAGTTATTAAGTCATAACCTGGGCATTTTCTTTTGGGTAGAAGTTTGATTTGCTGTGAAACTTGTGAAGGAGTAAACGAGAGAGGTGGTAGTGTCAACGGTAGTGGTATATCTAAAGTGTTTAGTACAATGGTTTCATGTTTTGTGTTCGTGAAGTCAGTAAATGGTGTAAATACAGATAGTTACAGATAATGATGTGGTCACCAAATAGTTCAGATTTTTCCCTATCTGACAAAGCCCATGAATCATCCTCTTTTCGCAGGGGTACTGATACCTCTCGATGTTTTCAACGAATTCATGAACAAATTCTTGGTATGCTCCCACAAACTTCCATCGTCAGTCGATAGGCTGTTCAAGTAAGCATCATAGTTTGTCGCATTGAATTTTTGTATTAGTCGTTTATTCAGTCCGTTAAATGTTCATTTATCTGAAAGAAATTTGTTACTCTGCCATACCTTACGAGCCCTTCTCTTTACCGTGATCAAGTCCCTTATATGCTGAGGGTATATAAGGGTATGCTCAGGAAGTCCCTTATATGCTGAGGAGTTCTGGGCAAATGCTCTGGCCATGAGGGCGTTGGAAGTGCTGAAGTCCAAGCAGCTTTTTGAATTTTTGGTAATATTTTCCACTGCCTCAACTAGTTATTCCACAGTTTTAATTGATCCAGGGATTGTCAGTTCTGAATCCAGAAATACCCTATATGCATCCCAATCCATTTTACCATTGATGAGTTTTGGGTTTCGTGGAAGGTTGATGGGCTCATCCAGGATTACCAAGTGTATAAGGGAATGATGAGAGCATAGATCAGAGCTTGTATTGCTGGTGTGAGGTATGGTGCGTAGTCCTTTGGTTATAAAAAAATCAAGGTCTGAAGTTTTTCGTCGCGAAACTGCCCAATATGGCGGTGTGTCAGGTGACATAGTGTCTAATGAAAGTTCATGGATAACAGCCCTCAGATTTCTTCCTCTTGGAGTACATCGCCGTGACGCCCAAATTTGGTGCTTCAATTCTTTGAAAATAATCGCAAAACATCGAAGAAGAACTCGGAGGAAAATATACTGAAGCATTAGTTATTGTGTGATGTTTGGTATATAGTGATAAGCGTGTGGTTTGAATGTCAGATGTCGTGGGTAAGTACAAGGGATTATGTGATAGTGATGTCTTTATTAGTATAGCTGTGCCGGGTTGTCCGGGTGGTCCGTTCTGTGCGTAATGTAACCAGGAATATGAAATTGTGATTATTTTAAAGTTAATAAAGTATTAATATTTTAGATTTTTATATTTATTTTATTTAATCTGTTCGCTTCTTCCGAAATTCACAGAAAATGTTGTTAAAACTTGAATAAATAGTAAAAGTGTAAGGGCTTCTCCATCTTTGAATACATTAACTTTGAATAATAAATTTAAAAATCTTTTCTTTTCTCCTTCTCGTTGCCTAGACCATACGAGATTTTTCCCGGTCCAGGGGAGAGGAAGGGGTAATTATGCCAGAGTTAAAAGTCTTCCCAGCACTAGGTTTGAATTCGTAAACTGGGGTTTATTACAGGTTGATACACCCAACGCATGTTTTGCACACGCATTTGCTCGCTCAGCTATCTCAACTCCAAGTTAATCTATCTACCTCTTATGGCTTGATGAAAAGGTAATTACGTTTTATCCCAAAAGGTGTTTAAATTCTTTTGTCTCTTGTAATCCTTATTCAATGAAATCATTCAGTAGTGCATTTGAAAGGTAACAAAGCATAGAACATTCTATACATAAAAATAGTGATCACTTAATTTCCTTTATATATCCTTCATCATACAGTCAACAGTTATTAAAGCAGGGTGATAGCTGTGACATTTAGGTCGCTATGCTGGTTTATTATGACGACTGACATTTGGATTAAGGATATCAGGTTGTGAATAAAAGGTTTTGAAGAGGTGGTAATTTTCCGATAGCTACTTCAACTTCCTCTTTACTTGGTCCTTCTATTAACGGTTCAGCACTCTGGTACTCAGAAGGAGGACACAGATCATAATTTCCGTATATAAAATATTGTCAAAGTGGTCCTTAAACTTCAATATGTCAACCGGGTCGGTCAGAATATTGTTATTATCATCCCTAATTCCAGATACTATGGGCCCTACACATTTACGTGATATGTTTATACCTTTGTACATGTCTCTTACGTTATTTTCGATTCTATTAGTTTCTATTTCAATTATTTTATTTTTAAGATACTACTTTTTTTATTTTTGAGCAATTTTGTCGTTTCGTTCTTTGAGGTTCGGAAGTATTCCAGATTGTCTTCGCTAAGATTGTTTAGAGCTTTTAATTTAGCGGCTTTTCTTTTTTCGCACATGTTTAAGCAATCTTCATCAAACCACGGTTTGTTATTCTTATTTTCCTTTTTTCCTAGACACGAGTTACCGACCGCTTTAATATTATCCCTGATCTCTATCCATAACTTGTCAATATCCTCGTGGTCCTCGTCAGGAAGCTCTAAAGCTTCAAACCTATTCTACATCTAACTCATCTAGCTCAAATTGGGTTCTAATTGATGGATTTTTTAATTTTTCCAAATTAAAATTCTCAAAATCGAAATTGTTTTCTTTTCTCTTTTTAATACTAAGTTTTTGTCGAAGTTACGCGATTACTAATTCATGATCCGACCCACATTCTGCTCCGCGATAAGACCGTACATTAATTATACTGCTTTGCCAGCTTTATTGTATCAAGACATGATCGATTTGATTGCGTGTTTTCGAATCCGGTGATGTCCAAGTATATTTATGAATATCCTTATGTTTAAATATCGTACTTTTAATTATCAGGTTTTTCGAGATGGCAAAGTTTATCAGACGGATCCCATTATCATTACTATATTCGTGCAAACTTTCTTTACCAATCGTCGGAATATAAACTTCTTCCCTTCCTATCTTTGCGTTCGCGTCACCTACAATTATTTTCATGTTGTTTCGTGGTAGTTTATAATAAACCCATTCAAGTTTATCGTAAAATTCACTTTTGACTTCATCGTCACTGTCTTCGGTCGGATAATGTATGTTTATTAATACGATTTTAAACCAACGTCTCTGAAATATAGCTACCGAAATTCTATCACTAAAGAATTGTACGCCCCTCAAAGCGGATAGTAATCTACTCCTAATTTGAAACCCGGTAGCCAAACAATGATTCCCGCTTCCTCCGTACCAAATAGTGTACTTTCTTTCCCTCATCGAGCCCTCCCCTGGCCAGCGAACCTCTTGCAGAGTCACGACATCTAAATTGTACCCATTTACCTCATTCGCGACCGATTTTAGCCCCCCTGCTGAGTTTAAACTCCTCACGTCCCACGTACCAATATTTAAATCCCTATATTTCAATTTGCGCCATGAATCCCCTAAAGCAGTCCCCACCCGAAGACCCGAATGGGGGACTAGTTAACCTCCGGATAATGAGCGTTTTACCTTAGGGAGATCTATGACTTTTTGTGGTGTTTGGTGAACTAAAGATATGTGAGTAGTTCAATCCTACGTCACACCCTCCAGCAAGTCTGGTGGGCCCCTACCTCCAGCAAATCTGGAGGTCCCCGCTCTCATTGTTGCTTTCTCTCCCGCTCTCATTGTTGGTCAGCGAGTCCATCGGACTTAGCCGGGAGGAACTTCCAAGGAATTTCCACCGACCATCTACACATCCGCCACCCGTGGAACGCTCCCCATACGCGGTAATAAGCTCGCGCGAGGAGTTTTTTTTTAAATTAAATTAAATCATTAGAATCGGTTAAAATTTAACCTATCTTAAAAAAAAAAATTAAGATAGTTTAAATTTTAACCGATTCTAATTATTTAATTTCATGTTTAACATTCTTAAATAAAATTATCTGCAACATTTTGAGTTGAACCTATGTAACAGTAATTGACTTTTTCTCCACTTTCATAAAATGGCTGATATCTGTGATCTATATTTGTAATTCATTTATATAAACCCATAACAGTTTTTATTCGTATATATGGATTCAAACATATAAAAAACAAATTTATATAATTTTACCGAAAGGAATATTTTTTAGACAAAAACGACTGATTTATTCGGTATTTTTTCACATATAACTCATACATAAACGGTACATCAAAGCGAAAAACTTTTTTTTTGAGAAATTTAAAGAACATTAAATTGTGCATCTAACGAGTACCTAGATTTAACGATTTGGTTAAGTAGTATGGTAGAAAACCACTGTCAACTAACCCTGATTTTTACCAAATTTGTCAAAAACTGAGACAAATTACTATAAATGTAGCTGCAACATGGAAATGAGTTTCCTAATCAAAAAAATTATTAAATAAAAGTTTTAGAGCATCAAATGCAACCACTGAGTACCATCAGTTTTAATGTAGATCAAATTAGGCTTTTCCAGGTACTGGGTAATAACAAGCTATCATCTTCACCGGGTGTTAGTAACAATCAGGTACCAGGCATTAATTTATTAAATTATTTTCAACAACATAGGTGTATATGAACTCTCGCTATTACCAATGTTTTTAATTTTGACAGCATGCAATATAACTTAATAAAAATAATCAACAAAAATTAAAAAAAAAAATACATTTTCCTTTGTATCCCTTTCACTAAGTAATGAACATAACAAATTAGATATAAGAAAACTACTTTCACCAATATTTAATTAATTCTACAGGTAATAGATAAATCCACACTGTCTCGTTTAATAATTAAAATGCAGTTGAAAACAATATAAAAGTATTACTAATAGCAACTTGCAAAAGGAAGTATATGCTAAGGAAGTGTATATCAAGAATTAAAAATCAACCTTATTTATTTAGTCACTGAAAATATAAAAGGATACAACACAAAATAGCCAATTTTTATAGCTAAAATAGCCAAAATTAAAAACAACTCGCTATTACAGTACGCATGCACTTAAAATAATAGAAACCTTCAACATAATTGCATACTATGAACTTATTATCCTATCTCCATGAGACAGATTTGCTGAAGCCTTTTCTCATTACAAAATAATACAAATTAATCATCTGTGTTGATAATTATATCTTAAGTTGAAACTAGAACAAGGATTTATTTATTTTTGATTTTATAGTTACCCATAAATCAAAAAAAAAAATTATTACATTTATAATGCTTATTTTTAGTTTGTTTTCCTACTGATACCACTGATGAAATTTTCAATTGTGTATGAAGTTACACAATAACCTTAAACAGGAAACAAAATCATTTAGATTTTAAATCTATTCTAAAATATAAAATTAAAAAGTAAAACACCTTTTACATTAACAAAACTCTTTTAATCTTGGCCCATTACAATATCCTTTGACATTTTTAATCGACCCTTAAACACACAACAGAACAATACAAACTTTTTTCCTCACTCAACATTCTTCAAGTTTCACACAAACACAATACAGAAATGAAACTAACTTGAGAAAATAAAATTATCCACTCTTACATGTGTGTAGAAACAAGGGATAATCAAAATAGAACAACTAACAAGCTTTTTCTTTTTTTTTTTAAGTTTTTTTATCAATTATCAAACTACATTATGGCCATGAACTAAACACGTGACAATTAGAGACAGATAAATCAAGTCAAGCAGTCACTTGGGTGGTAGGTGCCGAACTGATCTCGACGGCCGGAGAAGGGCTGTTGTTGGATGAGGGGCCATTGAGGACCGGAGGTGGTGAAGTGGGGGTCAATGCGGGGGCGCTCGCGGTCTCCTGCTGCTCGATTACTGTGGTTGTAGTTTGCTCCGCTGCGCTTCCTGCTCTCAGGATCGGCTTGACTCCTTCCACCTTCAGCTCTGGTGTAGTCGCACCATCGCCTGATTTTATAGCGAGCCCTTGCAACATTGACACTACCTCATCCATTCCAATGCTATTTGTTGTTAAGCTTTGATTTGGCCTTCTCTGTAACATTGGCTTTAGTCAAGCAATGAAAAACAATGTTTAGAAACACTGGAATTAGAAATTTAAACTTATATAATATATTAATCTATTAAATACATATTAATCTTATCTAGAGTAAAAATATGAGGATAGAAAATAGTCAAGATCTACAGTCTGTATATGGTGTATTTAGGGTGGCTACTAGAGAAAAAGTAAAATTTCCTGACCATTCCCAGATATTTCTCTATTTAATAACAGTTTTTTCTGACCAATAAGTCTATATGACCAAATATTAAAAATGTGTAATTCATAACTAAATTTATTTATTATAAAAGAAAGAAAATAACAACTTTTAGAAAATAACAACTATTTAAAATAACAACTATGTTTTAGAAGCATTTTTTAAACTTGATTAGGATTTTTAATTTTATAAAACTAAACTTATAATAATTTATTATTATCGCTTTTATTTTATTTTCATAAATTGAGGAGTTAAATTTGATAATTGACATATAATGCTCTGATTTTTTCTATTAAAAAATAAAGCTAGAAACGGCGGGATTCTAATATTAATTTAGTTTCTCATAAGTAATTTACTTTCTTTATTACAATAAACAGCATAATAATTATCCATATGACATGAATTGTGACATTTCTGGTTAATAAACATTCTTTAAAGGAGCACCACGATTCTAACGAATGAATGCTTGCAAGCCATATCTTGATTCAGATGTATAAATATATTACAAATAGTAAATAATATTGGTATGTTTTTCTTTTCAAAAAAGGAACCGTTTTAATTCCTTAAATTGTATTCATTACCCTTGTTTGATTTCAATACAACATGTCAATATTCAATGACCAGTGCCGTTATTGACAGTTAAAGATAGATGTATATAGCGAATGTGGTTATTTATAATAACCCTTCAAGTTCATTATAAATTATGTTCACTGTATATTTGTTTTCTATTTGAAATAAATATTTACATACTAAAAAAATTCTCTAACTTTTCCCGGTTTCCCTAATTTTTCCTATTTTCCAGATCGGACACCACCCTGTTTATTAGACATGTGGGTCATCATCAGGGCAATGGTTACGAGCCTGCATAAGTTGCTGACGACCTACATGCTTGGGTCCAATCATTGGCCAGCCTAACACAAACCATATGTAGAGTGCAAACCCTGACTATTATTTATATTTTAAAACATTACAATAATTCATGTAAATATATTAGTGAAGGATGATTTTAATTCTAATTCACAGGTGAGTTCAGTGACTCTGGCACACACCCGGAGGCGCCTGCCACTTTTAAGGAAATTTAAAAAGTTACATTATAATTTAAAATATAGCAATAATTTAAAGTTACATTACAAGCAAAGCAACTGAATCAGAAACATATTAATGAAATACTATTCAATTACAAAATAATATACAACAGCTTAAAAAATTTATTTTTTTTTTTGAGAGAGAGAGAGAGGTACAAGAGATAACTGTCCAGGAGTATCAAATGTTCCGCACTAGCTGGGTTAGTTTATGAATTATAATTTACATCAAAAACGGTCCATTGCGAATTTTTGTTTAAAAAAACCAACATCTATAATTCCAAATATGAATTTAACTAGATTTTAAAATTAAATAATACTGATAAACATTATTATTTAGTACTAAGTTAAACTATAGAAACAAAATTATCAGAAGTGGCTTAACAAATAACTAAAGCTTGCCTTTTTAGCATATTTCTGAAAATGACACGTCTGTTCACTTTTGATAAGAGGTCACTCATTTTATTCTCAAAAAACTTATTTCCTTTTTTTCCCAAGAAATCAATAAAAAAGTAGAGAAATTATTTTGCTTTCCAGATCATCTGAATACATACTTTTATAGATAGTATGGATTTCAAGGAATATTTAAAAATAATTTTAACATTAAAAAGAAAATCGGTTAAAAAAAAAAAGTTACATCATTATTAAATTGAATATTATTTTTAAAAACTTTCAGAAAGCATTTCATATCAAATAATTTTTTTTTTATCTTTTTTTTATTGCTACAATCAACAGGGCTTAAACTTATTCCATCTATGAGACAAATATGAGGCAATTATTTTCAAAAGCGGCTCAGTTTTCAAAAATTCAACTAACACTCAAAATATAAGAAAGTCATCTATATTTGACCAACATAACTCCATGAATTTGAATCCATTTTTATTCTGTAATGAGACAACTTTGATAGGCAATGTAATATTGACCAGATTCAGCCAGTTTAGAAACTAATAGCCTCATGATGATATAAGTTCCAAGAAAGACAACAGAATTTACTGCCAAATTTAAAAAAATTCCATTTCTTCTTAATTTTCTGGATAGTCTAGTTTTTAGTCTAAACAGATTTTTTTGTTTGTAGGAAGCAAAAATAAGATCTTCCAATATAACAAATATTACTAAATATTTATTTATATAAATATATACAATATATTTATCAATAAATGTTTTAAGGGTGCATCCTTATTATCAAAACTTCCTAAAGATAACAAGTTAAGAATTAAGAACAAATGTCTGTAGATGTAATTTTATTAATTTTTTTCCATAGGGGAAAGAACTGCAGTAATAATTATTGTGAAGTTAGTTAACTAAGTGATATTAATATTAAGATTTGATAATAGTGATACAGTTCCAAAACATTAATTATTAAATATATTGTGCGGAAGATCTTATTTTTGCTATATACAAATTAAAAAAATACATCTTGTACTGTTCATAAGTTTTTATTCTTTGTCTTTTTAGGTTATAACATAAAATAAATAAATAATAAATCAAACTATATTTTATTATTTTTTCATATCAAAATCCTCAAATCATCACATCATTTTATTGCTATAGAAGCTAGATAGTATCATTTCCTCACGTTATAAAACACATTTTTTACTTTATATATCCAAAGTTAATTTTAACAGAATTACTTCAAAAGAACCCAACACTATAAAAAACTTATAATATTGTTTCTTTAGAAAAACAAAATATTTCATAAAATTTATTTTAAAGCTAGTAAAAACTATTAATATTCTTATGAATTCATAATATATGAACGTGCATTTAATAATATTTAACAATATTTTACTATCCAATTTATAAATTTATTTTAAACTAAACAGTATTTCTAACTTCATTATATTTTTATTTTAATGGATTATTTGTTAATTTATTTAATTGTACTTGTTAACTTTTCTTATTGTAATTGTTTTTATTAATTTTACTTCTTGTAATCAGTAACTTTTAGTTTTAATCAATCACAACTGTACTTATAAATTTTCAACCTTTAATTTAATTGTACTTGTATGTTAAATTGCAACTATTTTTGTATCCCTAAATTTATGGTAAACAATTGCAAGATTAATCTAACGCAGATTTGTTATTTAAATTTAAATTGATTTAACAACTGTATTGATTTATTATAAACAGCTCACCTTAGCAAAGTGAAGTAGTGCAACACCTTTGGCCGCACGCCACGAGATGTCCACTGGGCGGACGTTCCGTTCGAAAAGTGCAGCCTTCAGCTCCCTAATGCGGATGCCTGAAGTGAGCCCATCAATGCGCACGCTAAAGTCTACAGTATACCGTGGCCGACGGATTCTTCTCATTGGTGGACCCATCATCCTTCTACCCATTCCCATTCCAACCTTATTATTGTCCACCTGGTACATACATTTTATCAATAAGCAGGTTGTAAAAAGTAAATAAATAATAATAATAATAATAATAATAATAAAGGAAAATATTCATAATATTTCTACTGAACATACAAAAAAATTGTAGGCATGTTAATAACTTTTTGAGTGAAATGCTTGGACTGATTTTTAAGTCTGATGATTCAAATTATTCAGTGAGATTCTGCGACCATTTTAAAACAATTTGGACTCAAAGCATTTACAAATAATTGAATAAAACATGTTTAATCTATCCAATAAAAGGGATTGACAACATTGACAACAGCAAACAGAATAACCAATTTATAAGTTTCATCAAGTTCAATCGCCCAGTGAGTTTTAATGTTTGCAAACAATTGGAGATAAAATGTTATTATACCTTAAGTATTCACAAATTTTTGTTGACTTTACATCACACATGTATAAATTAACAATTATAATCATATAGTAAAGCATATCTTGATGTATTCCAATTAACAATTATTCAATTGTTACGGCAAGTATATTTATTTATTTTTATTCTGTTCTTAATTTTGTTATAGTTATTCATTATATAATCGTAAATTTATAATTTTAGATTTACACTATTTCTTTTTGTCTATAATTATATTCTTAAGAAATATTGGTTATTTACTCAAAAACATAATCTTCTCCTTGTACTTAAGACTGATTTCTGATAAACAATCTGCTCTCTCCTCTTCGTCAATTATCTATATTAGTTGTGAAAGTCATTTCTTTTTTTAGGTGTCAAATTTCTTGTTTATGTTGGTATTTTCTTAGTTTGCAAAACCGCAGATAATTACTATTGTCGAACTCCTACTAATCCCTCTCATTTACATTCTTCTCTACTCTCATATGGCTAATATACTATTAACTTGCCAGGTTAACTCCCAATCCCTCCCCAGACATTGCCATGAATTCCATGATTATTTCCTTCATAACTTTTATCGCATTATTGCCGTATCAGAAACCTGACTCAAACCAAATGTTCCTTCCTCCTCCTTATCCATCCCTGGCAGGTGGAGGTGTTGGTCTAGAAAAAAAAAAAAAAAAATCATTCTGATCTTTGAAGATAGGTCAAGCACGTATTTCTGAAGGTGGATTATTTGATGCTCCATATTAGCCACATAAACGATGCCAAGGAAAATTGTCCAGGCAGTATTACAGAACGAAGAACTCCTAGGCTATATGTAATGAAAAGTGACCTCAGGTTTCATGATGACTCTTGAAAAGGAGATATAGAGGGAGCACATCAGTCCTACCCTAATGCCAGAGTAAATTATGAAACTGGAGGAGCTTAAACCTCAAGCAGAAACTACCAAACTGAAATACCAGGACCTAATCTCATCCCCTGATGAGTCGAAAGATGATAAAATGCATCCTGATGAGACAAAGATGAAGAAGAAAAGGTGGAAAAAGTTGAAAACAAGTGCCACCTCAGAACTACAGGAGAAGAGGATTGAAAGAGTAGAGCCTCAAAAGCTTATTATACTCAGGCACAATAAGGAGAATATAAGTTATACCATTCCAAAATCACCAGAGGAAGTCCGCACGTATGTAACAATAATAGGTGAAGGAGGAAATTCGAACCTGAGAAACATATGGGAGGTTCTCGATGAGGAAGAACTGCAGGATGCACAAGTTACCGTTCAAGTAACAGAACTCAACAACTAGAAAATCACTGTCCTGGTCAAGACTAAGGGGGTGGAGTAAGCTAAAATGATGATAAAGATGCAAGAACAAAGAGACCAAAACTTAAAATGAGTGGAGTACCCGAGGATTGGAAATTCTCTCACTAGGAGGACTTCCTAGCGGAAAAACTGATAGCAGCAGGATAAGTAGACCTCAAGAAGAATATAATAGAAAGAAATGGGGTTAGATCATGTTGATGAGAGAGGGAACCTAAAAAAAAACTGAGTAGTGGAAGTTCATTTTTTTTTGTCTTCCCCTTCCTCTCCTTTTAGGCCACACATAGGTTTTCCCAGGCCAGAGTTAAAAGATCCCCTCGGCACCACGAGGTGAACTTGTTTGTTTTTGTAATTATTTTTAATCGAATTATCTTCTATATCAGGTTGCCGAACAGCGGCTGTGCATTAGCCCGCTCGGCAATCCCACCACTAACCTAAAGAAAAACTGGATAGTGGTCATTTGTACATGAGAACGTAGTCTTGCAAATGGAAGAGTTCTCCAGTACCTTCTGGACATAGTAACTTGAGATATTTGAAATTATCGACATTATCGAAATTCAACATGAGGAAGTTTTTGCCTTTCATTTGTGGAGGGTTTCACATGTATTAGGGTTTTGTCTGCATTGATTTGAAGACCAAGTTTATGTGCAGCCTACTGGAATTCTTCAAAAGCTTCAGATAATGATGTGAGGGTTCTACCTGTGATGACCGTATCTACCGTTCTACCTGATCTGAAGTTACCGTATTTACTGATTTTAATTTCTCCTTGCATTTATTTAGCTTAATTTTGCCAGATTTCAAACAATTACAATGACGACAAGTATTGCAAAGCCTAAACGTGTGTTTGCTAGCCCCTGTTTATGTTTCTGGTACCCACAATGAATACATTCTGTAGCTGGATCTACAATTCTAATTATTTTATTTTCCTGCTCGGTCTTAGCTATCCTACTGATATGAGTTTCTTCTGCCGTACCCTCTGTGACTTTTCTTCGTTTTTGGGCCAACTCAATTATAAGAGCGGATTTTCAATTTCTTTTAGGCTTGCATTTTCCTCTGGATGACGGCAAAAAATCTCCTCCTGCATGAATGGGTTTTTCAATCCTAACAAAAATAAATTGACCACATAATCTTTCTTCCAGATTATTTCCAAATTTGCAATTGTTTGCTGGTGATTGTAATTTCATTAAAAATGATGCTATTGACTGATTTTTGTCAAGGAATACTTGCCCAAATTTTACTTTTTCTGCCAGATAACTTGTAGTTGGTTTTAGATATCTACCTAAAAATGTATTTCATCTGCATAGGCCATTTGATGAATTGATCTATTCATGATTGCTAAAGCTCGAGAATATTAAAGTTTACGCTTTAATAGGTTCAGCTGTGAGGACCTCCCAACAGAGGAATGATCCTCCAGACTTAGTACACAGGACTATTTATGTGGACGAATGAGCATCGAGACCTGGTATGGAATAGTAAAGGAGAGAGGGATAAAGAAACAAGAGTTAAAAAAATAGTCAAATTGACAAGGTTCCAAAAAGTATATAAAATAAACTGATCAATGTAATGATTGTGTATAGACAAAAAGCAAAAAACTATTGAAAGGAAAAACTGATAGGACACACCCAATCAGTATAATGATTCACGAAACAAGAATACGTCCAAGTGAAAAGGTCATCTATATTGGATTCAGATTCGGAAGAGGTTTTAATGTTACCCATCACTTGGACTACCTGCGGAATAGAGTGACCCAATGTCTGAACAGCCTGAGTCCAGTAGAGGGCGCTTTCTGGGGCCTCAGATACCCAGCAACAATGACCATTTATAAAGGTATGATTGTAGGTATACTGAGGTATGCGTCCCCTGCTTGGAATCAGAATTTCTCGCACCGACAGAAGAGCAAGTTGGCGACAAAACCAGTGAACGGCTCTGCTGCCAGTCACCAGAACGTACAGAACTGTTTCTCATGAGGCAGTGCAGATACTAGCGGGAAGAGTGCCTCTCTAACTCCTCCTGCAAGAAGATATGTTCAGGTACATATATAAGAAGGAAGGTTTAACAGATCTAAACAGAAGGGGCCACTCTAAGGAAGTACTTCCCCACTGTTCAATCACGTTTGGAAGACAAGTGGGTCCCCCCGGATTACTGGCTCTCGCAATTGCTTACTGGGCATTGGGGCTTACGAGACAAGCTCCATGGATTTGGAAAAGATATCGATCCCCTATGCCCTAGCTGTGGGATCCCGGAGACTGCTGAGCACATTATCACAAACTGCATCGCCTTTGAGTCGCAAAGGGCCAAATTGGTGAGAGAGACTGGTCTCTATGTTCTCACAGAGTCTGATTTCCCTCAGCTAGTTATGGAAGAAAACTTCCCGTACTACAAAGAATTTGTTTACGGGTGGAAAGAAGCCATTGGACCCTTTGATGCCTTTTAATAATTCTTCTGTGTCCTTACGGTTTACCTAAACTTGCTCACTTTCTTCGAAACTGCGTTCTTGTCCCTTTTTATCGTGGTATATTTTTTGTTTCAGCCTGCTTTCTTCCATCTTATCTTCTCTCACGGATGGTTTTAAACGATCGAATATCGTATGCAACCTTCTGCCGGTGTTTTCCCTGTTGAGCTGTGTATTGTAGTTCGGTACACAACCAGCGTCACTCACAATCTTTCTTGCTTATCTATGTAAGCAGTATCGTTTCGGAATCATTTAACATTTTAATTACAAGTTCCACCATAACATTTGCTCAACTACAATAGGGGGTTGTAAATATTTGTTTCACTCCATTGTCTCTTAAAAAGCTCTTGAATTCCTTTGAAGCAAATTGGCTTCCATTGTCTCAAGAACAATTTGTTTGCAAATCCCATATCTTGCAAATAACAATTCTAATATATGGACAGTTTTTCACTGGAAAAATTTCTAGCCAACGAGAAGAAGCATCATTAATACGAACCAGGATAATCTTTTAAATTATTGGTTTTTTGAAGTGGTGGATTTCCTATATAATTCCATACGCTTTCTCCTACAATGCTACAATAAGGAGGAAACTGAAATGTATTTACCATTCTTCTATATCATATTTACTTTCAGTTCACCTGTTGTTTTCCTTGGTACTCCTGGATGAGTTAATGGACTCAGAAAAATTGACTTCCTCATCCAACCTCTTGTCTGTTTTAGAGTTTCTTTTTTTCTGCCTATTCATCATCGTCGCCACATGTAATAATTGTGCATAGACAAAAAGAAGGGTTGAGTAAGTTCCAAATAAATCAATATATATATTTTCAACAATGTACAACATCACATGTTTTTTTTACAATAACATCTAACAATAATAATAATCCATATTAGGAGTAGTTCTCATAAATCCTTAGTAGGCACTTTGAGTCAGATAGTCATCTTTGAATTTTCCAGTTTTCCTCTATCCATTTGATTTTAGGCCTCCTTCTAATCCAAAAATAGTGTAGATCGATATTATACTCATATGATTTTTCAACCATATTCTCAATGAGAAAATATTAACCAATTTTAGATCTGCCAGGTCTGCAACTAGTTTGATACTCTTCAATCAGTCAATCCGTGTGAACATTTGTTTGTTTATCTCCAATGATAATACTTTATAAGCAACACTAAGGAGAGCTATAGCTCTATAGCTCCTGTATCCAAGTCTGTCACCTTTTTTGTATGTAGGATGCAGCAGTGCAATATTCGATGTAGCAGTTCACCATGCTATTGGTATGGATATTTCGGCTTGATATCATGTAATTTGTTTTATCTTTATTTACTCATAGGCCAATTTGCTCTGCTTCTCTGCTCAGAGTTTTAACAAGTCTCTACGTTCTTTAGATTGCTTTGAAGATCAGCTAGATCATCTGCGTGCCCTATAATTTTATGATTCATTCAGATATGCACCCCTCAATTTCCTTTGATGATGTCCTTATCACTTTCTCTAGAGCTAAGTTAAATGAATTGGCGAGAGTCAATCTTCCAGTCACAAGCCAGGCCAGTTTGTACATTATTGTACATTTATACATGGCAATTTCTTATGAACTAGACTACTTCAAACAGTTTACTTTTAAGGTTGATTTCCATTTCTTCTAATGGCGACCTTAGTTCAAACCTCAGTCATGCATCTCCACTTTCTTCAGATTTAAGTAATTGGAATTTAGCTTTTATGAACTTCCAGGGGAAATATCACCACAGCTTGTAATCTAACAGTGTTTAGGCTGACTTGAAGTAAAAGATTTCGTAGTTGAGAAAAATGAAATTATCAAATAAAATTTCCATATCAAATGTATTAAACTAAATATATATATAACTAAATTCCTAAATTTCATTACAAAATTGTCCAATTAACCAGTCACATATCAAATCTAATAAGTCACATCAAAAATTAAAACTATACACTAATTACTGTTTAACTATAGCTTATACTATTTTTAACAGACAATATTTTGATTGGAATACGGTCATCAACTTAGACGTACAATATCGAAAATTAAAAAAAAAAAACCATACACAATTTTTGAAGACATCAATTGGCTGTTATGTAAAAAGTATTCATATTTGCTTTTATAAATTTTAATATGACTTTAATGAATCAATAACCTTATCTCCTGAGGCACTGCCTTGAGGCTGAAGGGTAACCCTTCTACCACTACGACGGAAAGTGCGCCCTCTAGGAGGAGGTGCACTTGAGTTCCTGTTTGCAGCTCCTCGTGGTTGGCCGTCGGGTGGTGCTGAGGTTAGCCTCCTGCGGCGGACAAATCTCCTCCTCTTTGTTCTTAGTGGTGGCCAGTATCCTGAAGGTCCTTCTGGCTCAGAGTCAACCTCTTTCAGAGCAACACTAGCTCCTGACCTATAATTCACAATACAACACTTATTAGCTATTCATATAGCATCGCTTTGAGATCTTTCATATAGCTATAACTAAGCCATTCTTTATTGACAGCAGAAAACCAATAACTACAACTAACTTACAATCTAATATATGCGTCAATATTTGTTTTATGGTAATAGAACAAATCCATCCATACTTACAGTTGCTCCTTTTCAAGGAGCTGCTTAATGATTGGAATGTCATTGACTCTTCGACTAGAAAGGAGATTCCATGTCAATTCTGGACGGGGAAGCTTTTTCTCAACATTGATTACCTGTGTAGGTGTTATGATTATGTCCACTGGCACGTCCCAAGGCTTAAATAGTGCCTCAGGAAACTCTTCATACACCTTTCGAATACAAAACAAAGTAAATTATAAAATTAAGAAATTCACAGAAAGAAAATTAAACTATTAAATTCAACATAAATTGACAGTTACCTGAAGATCATGGACCACTGTTGCTATAACCGCATCTTTGATAATGATGCCAAGTTTGGATAAGAGGGCATATTCAAGGTCCGTAAATCCCTCTCCCTTTCCAATACGGTGACCTTTAAAAAACATCATATTGTATGCTTATTGAAATTGATGAATATTAACAATAATACACAATAAGCTACCTTTCTTATCAACAGCTACTGATCCTAGAACAACCAGATCAGCTTTTATGCCAGAACTGAAGTCCAATGCTGTTCCAAGGTGACGGATGCCTATTCGTGAAGCGGCCATCCTGTTGGCCAGTTTGTTCGCTTCCATAGGCGGCCTCATTAGCAGGAATACAGCTTCTTTCAGACCTGGTGTTCCAGCAATCAGTGACTTTCCTTTCTGTGTAATAAAATATTACCTGATATTTCAAATAAGATCTGACATTTTTAATATTGTTCTTATTATGTATAGTAGACTTTAAAATATATATTAATCAGATTGACTTATCAATTAACATCGACAGCTGATCGATTAACATGATCGACAACAAACCTGAATAACTTCAAGTCGAACCCTCTCATGAGCTTTGTCTAGGTTCACCTTTACGACTTTTGCAGCTCGAAATGCTTCTAGCTGTGCCAGTTTTTCAACGGCTTCATTTTCGCCTTTAAATCTTGGAATCCGGAACTTGCATGGCCTTGGGAATACAACCTGAAACAGAAATAAATGGTAAGAAATAGTTTCCAAAAATGAAAAAGACATTGTTAAATTTATTGTGACAGTTGAAAAGGAATCTCTGAATAAACATTCTTTTTATTATATTGTATTTAAATAAAGAATCGTTAAATTAAAAAAATATTGTAAGAAATATCTTAAACTTTGTGTAGGAAGATACTTGATTCACCTGATCCATAGATTCCAACTTTTCCCATGTCTGAAGCCTTATGGTGAGCTTTGTAGTTTCTGGGCCGTTGGCGACTGGCGCTGCTACTGCGTTCCCTTTCCCCACCTCCTTCTCCAACTGTGACTCTACCTCACTAGCTGTTAACATAAACAATACAAATTATTAATATGATTATACATAATAGTTGTTCATAAAACTCATATAAATTGTTTTACTAGAAATATCGATTATTGCAATTGCATTCATAGTATATTTTCTGTCAGCAAATTTATTAAAATATATTAAATATTATTATTTTGAATAGTTTTAATTTGAACATTAGAATGTAAACAAAAACATACTACAAATATAAAATAAAAATAATAACTTCCAATATAATTGAAAAAATCAAAATAAAACAGTCACCTATCATTTATATAAAGAAAACTGCATAATAATAAATAAAAGTTAAATCAACAACAGATTTCTACACAATTGAAGAAACCTCATTCAACTTTCTCTTTAGATAAGGTTTGTTAGCTATAACCTTGCAGCAGGTTATCCGATTTCCACATTCCACTTTTTAAATGATTTTTATTTTACAGCTCTGAAAATTAGAAATCATCTTTTTGTTCGAGAAAGGCAAAAAAAACATCATTGCAACATCAAATAATTAAAAATTATTATATTACGAATCATGCAGGACTACTTTTTGCTATGTAACTTTAAGGCGATGATGACTGTATACTAATTCCTTTGTTTGATTCATAACCTTACAAACATAACTCTTAATCCCATAATTCATAGGCTATTTTTGTTTTCAATAATAACTAATGTTAATAATTGATAACTATTTTAATGGGACAGAATTATTTAATTGTTTATTAGACTGATTATTTGCTTGGACATAAGATGACCTGAAAGTGGAATTTTTTGGGTCAATCTTGATTTCTTAGGCTGTGCATTGATGGATTTTATTCAGGACAGGTGTTTTTCCGATATTTAGATTTGAAAAGGATGATTTATTCAAATTTCACGGGATAATTGGATCATAAAAATATTGCTATTTATTGTTTCATGTGGAAAGAAAATAATCTTATCTTCTAATATCTTCTCATCCTTCCCGGCGGATTTCCTTCTCCCAAGAAATTTCATTGCTCTACTCTTCTTAAAAACTTAGCATGTGAAAGTAGAATATTAAAAAGTGTAGTTTATTTTTTTCATTTATTCCCTTAATATTCTACCTCCAAATGTGCTAGCCACATAAGAATATGGATCGGATCTCTTCTAAAATTTGTTAGTTATATTTTGATGATGCAACTTAACTTGCTTGCACCATGCCACCATATTATGGGCACCTCTAAAACAGGAGTAGGATATTTGGTTAGGTGAGAGGGGTGACCGTAATTTTAAAAACACCTAGTTAATTTGTGGAATTTCGCGTGATTTACAGGTTTTGTAAAATTGCTTGGTTCGAGCTGATGGTTGATAATTTTTTCTTGAAACTTTATACATTTTTAACTGTCATTCTGCTTAATTAAAAAAAATATATCATTTCTAAAACTTGTTTTACTTTGAATATTTTTTCTTTTTTTGTTAAAAAAAATAGGTATTTTTAAATCAAATTTTTACAAATACTGAGTTTAAAAAAAACCGTCGATATCCTCCGGAAAATTAATTTCTTCCAACTTTTAGTAGTATTTTTAAAGATAAATTCGTATTAATTTAAACCACCCCGAAGATAGTTAAAATATATGTATGATTATTTTTGTATGTATAAATGTTCTAACAATTTCAAGGTATGTACTAATATCTCCTATAACTAGACATGCTCTCAAATTTAGTTTAAAGAATTGTACTGAACAAAAGAAATTAAGGTTCTGTATTTATTTTTTTAGAAAAATACCTCAAACCAAAACAATAAAAAAAATTTACAAAATCGGTAATATAAAGAGGTAATTCGGTTTGTTGATTTTAACATTCAAGTAAAATCAATCTACCTTCCTTAAAAACGTTATTTCCGCTTCTTATGACTTCTTTTTTATTGGTTGGGTGTTCACGCACACAAACATACACAGGGACCAATTCGTGAGGCTTGGTAATTTGGACTTTGAGAACCTTAACACGTGTATTTCCGTTGAAAACTCAGGTTTGAAACATTTCATGATCGCGATAGTTTCTCTTACTATGTATTATATACAGATAGATAAGTGAAATTAAAAAAATAAAATAATGAGTATTGCTAATGATAGGCAGAGAGGTAAATATTTCATGACTACAATTATTTGCCAATATAAATTGTATTTAGGTTGATATTTGATAAATGACCTGTTCCAATCCTCATTCTACCATTAAAAATAAATAATTAAACTTATTCTCATAGTCAGGTTTTTACCAACATCCATTTATACAATACAATAGAAGAATGTACTAAAAAGCAAAAATGTTATAATTTGCTGAGTGAAATTGTTTTAAACATTTACGTTTATGTTATTGTTCTTTTTGTAATCTAATTTTATCATAGTAATATTTACTAGTGATGAGTATAGCCTGGAAGAATTTATCAGTGTTTTTTTTTGTTAAGAATAAAAACTTATTTAACCTAAACGTGCAACTTTAATATAGAGTCCAAAAACACATTTTCCGCCATTGGTCTGTCTGCGCCAAGATTATTTCGGAAACTAGTTGACCAATTTTGATGCTCCTTTTTTTAAATTGTAGGGTTTTGGCGCAATAAGTGACAAACATATTTTTCTAGAGACAGTAGCGCAAAAACGGTTCTAACGATTTTGATAAAACCTGGCTATATTTTTCTAATTATTGTCCTTTCAATTTTAATATTTTTACTGAATTTCCGATAAAATTCAGGAAAACAAGTTATAAAGAAGACAAAAATGCCTACAAAACAAACAAAAAATCGTTCATTTCGGACAACTATTAACGAAGTTACAGCTATTTTAATTTCGTATGTAAGATTACGATCTCAAATACTAGTGCCCGAAAGGGGTTTTAATCTAAAGAAAAGTAAAATAATCTGGTACCCGAATCAGACATGTTTCATTTTTCCATCAACTTTTAACAGAAATTATTATCTGACAAAATTGGACTATTGCGAAAACGTTTTTGATTATACAAGCCAGATTACATTGTTTATTTAGTTTATCAAATAAATCGTACTCAAATCTTTCCTTTGATCAATTTACAGGAAAACAAATCTAACTAAATTTTTATTATTATTTTTTTTTTTATGGACATATTTAATGATGTAAAAACTTTTCTGAAATCGGTAGGAAAGTCGTGTGAGTGGACACACCTGATTTTTTTTTCTCGCCACGCGTCGCATTTAGAAGCTATATATGTATTCTAATTTAAAAAGATAATGTTTTACGATTTTTTAAAGTATCTTTTGGTGATCACCCACATATAGAAATATGGACCAATGAAAAAATTTACATATTTTTCCATTATGGAGAGGGGGCTTCGTCCTGAAACCCTCCCCCTTCCTCTCACCCGTTTATTCGCCAGTGGTATAGATTTTGATGAATGATATATCAAACGAAAAGAAATTTTATAGAGAAGTAACGAATCCCAATTTCAAAACGTAAAAAATATATAAGTTTCACTACAATAAAAGTCATTAAACAAAAAGTAAGATTTCAAAACTCAGATGGTATCAAAAGTAGATGGATCGAAATAGTATAAATTGTATTTTAAATATTTCGACCCAGAAATCATTTCTGCGTTCTAAGTCCCAAAATGTACCGTTTTCGAGATAAATCGTAACACTTTCCAAAAGCCTCTGTGGTACTGTGGTTGCTATGGGACACAGCCGGATCTACGGGGGGCTTTCGAGCTACCCTCTCCCCCTCCTTCCCCAAGATGGTAAAATATAACCACGTATTATGAAAAAATATTTTTAAAATTATCTCTAAAAGTATTATTGTTCGTTTTATTACATTTAATAGGACTTCAAGAATCAATTAAACACCATTTCATATAGGTAGTTTATTTTTCTTTCAAAGATATTATCGTTATATATATGAAAAAAAAAAAACCTTTCGAGCTGAAGTCCCCAAAATTAAATCATAGATCCGCAAGTCCCAATACTTGTCATATATTTAGCTTCTGAAAATAAAAATATTGCTCTTAATGATCATCTGCGATGAATTGAAAAAGTAAACGAATGAGAAAAGCTATATGATACCTTGGACATCTCGAATGATATAGAAAGAAACTTTTTTTTTTTTAAATAAAAAACAAAATAAAATATAAATCCATGGCACCTATACTTTTAGTGGTTGAGAAAACTACAAATTACATCTTCTGCACCAATATGTCTTGAGCGGGTACAATAATGGCTTAGTTTAAGCTCAGAGATAGCTATCACTTATTGCCTAACTATTTATCTCGATATTTTCCAATGGCACTAATAGCCCGAAGGTTAATATTTGCTGTGCCGAATGGTAAGCGTCCAAAGGGGTAGACCGAAGCGAAGGTGGGAAGATTGCATTAAAACTGATCTGAAGCTACTGGGTTTGGACTGGGAACGGTGGAGGGAGGTGTGTAATAAGCGATTGGTGGTGTCGGCATCGAACCTTCGGGTTCGCTAAGCCTTTTATTATTTATTTATTTTATTTACTAATAGCCCGCGGTGGCACTAGCAGACCCCTTTTAATCAAATTATTACCATCTGCCTGAAACTTCGTAAATAGCTGCTGCTTCTTATAATAAGAATCTGCAACTATTTTATTCAAGATAATTCTTGGAATTAGGATTGTTTTCAATCTGGAGATCGGCAACTTTGTAAATTTAATTAGCTACTAAAAACTCGTAAATTGATATAGTTATTTTGACATTTTGGGGGTGTAGGTCACGGCAAACGGCTCAATATTTTTTAAGGCCACCTTTTTCCTCGATTTTGTGCTCAAATTATCTTAAGATTGAAGCGGAAAACAAATAAGTATTTACGAGTTTTTAGTAACACCAGATTGAAACCGTACCAATTACGAGAGTTTTTGTAAATAAATTAGTTGTAGGTTATGATGAGATGAAGCTATTTACGAAGTTTCAGGTGGATGTTAATAATTTGATAAATAGGGTTCTGTGCCACGGACTATAAGTAAATTGTTACTTTAGGAAGAAACTTCACCATTTGTAAGTGTTGAATAGGCTATCTCACTAGCGGATCCAGGGTTTAATTTTTGGGGGTGGGCTTCAGCCCGAAAGATTTTTTTTTCATATACATATAACGATAATTAATTTGAAAAAAAAAAGAAAGAAATTAACCACCTATAGGAAATGGTGTTTAAGTAGTTCTTGAAGTCTCATTAAATGTAAATACACGAACAAGAATACTTTAAGAGATAGTTTTAATATTTTTTTCTGTAAAACATGGTTATATTTTACCATTTTGGGGGAGGAAGGTGTGTTCAGCCCGAAAGCCCCTCCTCCCCCCCCCCGTAGATCCGCCTGTGGGCTATCTTGATATTGCATTATATATCTTCGGTTTATTGCATTAAATCATTAAGTGACATATTACAACCTTATAAATTAATTTATTTAAAATAACTATAAATCTTGATAAATTTTCCTGTTGTAAAATCAAAAACTTGTACTCTTGTAACTATGATATACAAAAGACTTTGTGTCATTTTAATGCTCCCACTGTGTTTTTATGTCATCGAATAAAGTCGAAATTCACAGAAACGTTCTTAAAAGGTCAGCCCCATCTAAAATGTATTTAGTAACGTTTTACAATAAACCGAAGCTGTACGAATAATTATATTTCACTGATGCCGCCTATACTTCGAAAGCACAAGGGAGCACTAGCCAATTCAGGATTTATTTTTTTATTTTTGGGGGCTTCAACCCGAAATCTTTTCCATATATGTAACAATAATTGCTTTGTAAAAAAATGAAAGATACTAACTACCTATATGAAATGGTGTTTAATTGATTCTTGAAGCCCTATTAAATGTGATTACACGAACAATAATGCTTTAAGATAATTTTTAAATATTTTATTTTTTTTCCATAAAACATTGTTAGATTTTACCATTTTGTGGGGGAGCTTCAGCCCGAAAGCCCTCCCATTTCCCTCCCTTCGTTGATCCGCCTGTGCTACTGAGAAGATATCTGATGTGGATGTTATCAATGGGGTTATATCTAAAATCAAGAAGACTTAAGATGCATCATATTAAAAATATATTGGATCATCCTCAATCTTAATTAATTAATATTTTTTAAGAATACTGAGAAGGAACGAGGAGTTCGAATGTTCTGGAAATTCGTGAAAATGGCGACCCATAAGCCTCTGTAAGAAAATAAGTCTTAAAAGGATTTAAGACCACTTTACAATCCTCTCTGGTAGGAAAACAATATGCCTGTACCTTGACCAAAGGTTGCCATGATAAAGAACATTCATCAAGATACGCAGAGAAACAGAATTTTTCAAGAAATAAATCATTTAGACCACAGGCGGATTTACGTAGGGGGGGCTTTCGGGCTGAAGCCTCCCAAAATGGTAAAATGTAACCATGTTTTATGGTAACAAATATTAAAAAATAATGTCTTAAAGTATTATTGCTCGTTTAATTACATTTAATAGGACTGCAAGAATCACTTAAACACCATTTCACATAGGTATAGTTAGTATCTTTCTGTTTTTCCAATGTAATTATTGTTATATATATGAAAAAAAAAAGTTTGCCGGCTGAAGCCTCCCCCCCCAAAAAAAAAAAATTAAATCCTGGATCCGCTAGTGACTTAGGCATTCGAAATTGATCAATTTTTCTTAATACTTTAAATGATAGGCAATTTTACATTTAATTTTGTTCTCAAATAACAAATCTGATGGAAAAAAAATTACATCGCATATCAGTATTTTATATATACACTATGAATTTTGAATTATCCTTTGCAAACTACATCGTTGAATTTCCCGCGGAACAAATATATGTTCTGAACTACAATTAATGCGTCCATTTTTTAATTTCAAGATAATTTACTTTTGAAATTATATATCGAACTAATGGTTGAGTTAGGAAAATTCGTATTTCATATTGGCATATATCAGAGTTATATGAAATAGTTCTTTGATATCACAGATTTCGACCAAAATTATTTTTAATTAACTAAACTTGGTCAAAGAGTTACTAATTCGATTTAACCATTTTATTGATCGCCTAATTTAAGTTCCGTAGTTTTTGTTTTATTATACCTACTAAATAAATTTAAATATATAAATAAATATTAATGATATAAAAACACTAATAAAATTATGAAACAGACGAAATTAAAAAAAATTCTTAAAAGGGATTTTTACTTATTTTTTCGATCTAAGCATCTCATATGTTTAAATATGCATGTGATTTTCAAATCATCTGTACTGTACTATTTCAGGTTATTTAAATTGGAAAAAAAAGTTATAAAAAAAAAACATGAAACTTTCAAAAATTTTAATATCTACAACTTGCAAATAAATGTAATTATTTAATTAAATACTGCATAAAACAATTTTTGTTAATATTTCGAGTATTATGTATGAGGTTAAGTGCATAAAATGTTATGTTCATAAAATTATATTAAAAAAAAAAATCAAATTATGAATTTCAAAGAAATTTATCGAAAAAGCTTCGTTTTTTAGAATTTGTTAGAAATATACCTACTGCGTACTTTTATGTCTTCTGAATTTCATTTAGATAAATAGTAAATTTAGTCAAATTTTTTTTTTGAACTTACGCTTGATTTCCTCTCCAGCAGTCATCGTTTACCCCTTCGGCCGATGATGGCGGGCTTTTAGACGATAAATGCAAAACCAGAAAGAGCGCTTCCAAAAACTGGAGAGTCGCCTACGCAGGTCTTGAAGGCCTCACACTTGTTCGCAGCTCGTTCGCTAGTTTCCCGATCTAGTACTGCAGTCAACTGTCCACCGCTAGGCTTTTATCCCTTTTCCAATGCCTTCCATAAAACTTGATAGTAGAATTATTTGTGTATATTTACTCTTATTTGCCATCATATATCTTTCTATCTTTATCTAAAAATTCTCCCTTTCTAGACAAATCGTGTTGTTTACAGGAATTCGTCTGATACTTTCCATTCATTATTTTCATTACTATTTGTTTTTAAATATTTGGAATTAATTTGACATTAATTAAGAAGTTAATATTGACATGTGTCAGCTTCAAAATGGCGGTGACGATTAGGTCAAATTTATATTTTGATTTAATCATCAATATTGAGATTGAATCTCAACAACATACTATTTAAAACATTGTTTTTTGATACTATTGTTATTATTTTTTAAAATTAATTCTTTTTTTGACGTTGCCTGTTGACTATATTAGATAAAGTGCACTTAATTTTTTAAAATAGAATTTCCTATGGACTTCTAATGATGTCCTTTACTACAATCATTTTTTACAATTATTTTTTTATGAAATTAATTATTTTAACACGACTTTTAAATATAAGATAAAAGTTCTATTAAAAACTTTATTAAATGTTGTTGTTTCAAAAGAACAGAAACATAATTGAAAACCATTTATACTCATATCGAAACTTGCATTATTTATTTATTTTTAACTATGATGTATAGTATACGTTTTAGAAAATACTTAATATCATATTTTTAAAATGCTTCAGATTGAACATGATATGGATTCCACGATGGCATTTTGGGTCTGTATATTATTTATATTATTTTGAAATATACCCACTGAATGAGAAATTTTTTATCGAAAATCAAATAAATAATTCAATACAAAAATAACTTCAAGTTGTAATTTATGTTTACCATAAAACAGTAGTCGGTTCAGGGACAATAATGTTTTTAGGGATAACATTTTTTAAACCCATTCTGACCAGGGTGGGAGTCGAGATTCATTCCGTGTGTCCGCCACGAAATAAAGATCAATTCACCCAGGCTGGAATCGAACCGAAGCTGCTAGACTCGAGAATGTTTACGTGTATAGTTATAGTTGACAGTCTAGACAAGAAATCTCCGAACGTTATATGATAAGGAACACCTTTTACAAAGGAGGAGTCTTGAAAACAAGTATAGGGGTGTTGATCTTCCCATGGTTCATGCCACCATACCAAGAAATTTGATTGCTCACCTCTTCTCTTTTTCTCAGGTTTGAAAGTTCTTTCAAAAATATATAGTAAATAAAAATGTAGTTTTCTCCAAAAATTCCTAATTTCAACAAAATATGCCCCTCCTTCTTCAAATATCCAAACCCCGGTTAAAATGTGCCCCCCTTAAGAAATCTGAGTGCGCAACTTACACCAAGCCACACCCTTTCCTGAACAAGTAACATACATTTCTTGTTTTGAGATTGTGATGTTATATATCAAATGAAGGTTCTTATTAAGCTTTAAAATTACTTATCAAACACCCCCCTAGCACTATCGGTAGTAAACCTAAGTAATCAAAAACATATTAAAATATGGTCGTTTCCGAAATTGTAAAAATTCTACAATTAAAAAAATTACTCATAAAAAAGTTGTTAAATAGCTTTGTAATGTATTTGTGAGTAACGTACCAATTTTTATCTAAATCGGAAACATGCATGTTACAAATTTATTTTTCATGGGGTGATTAATTTGACATGTAAGAACTCATAGATGTGTAGCAAACTTATGTAAGTGTAGTTCAGATGTTATTAAATCGACAGAACAATGGCAGTAAACATTTTCCCACTTCACTTTATGTGTGAAACCAACCTCCGATGACAGTATGACACCGTTAATGGTGGAAAACTTTGTTCAAATATTTCCTATTTTTAACACTCAATGAAATGAAAAAAACATTTTTTATCGACTGTACAAAATATGAGAAAAATAGCGATTCCGAGTTGGAATTCGGTGGGACAAGGGAACAATGGGTCTAAAAACGGCACTGTTTCCGGGAAATACGAGACGGTCGGCAACCTTCTTTAAATATTCAGTTTCATTAAGAACAAAATCAGTTATGTTAACTATAAACATCAAATAATTATTTTGTATGATTTACTTGTATTGTGAAGAAAATAAACTGTGGCTGGGCGGATTGCTGGTACTCGCGATTAATTTAGAAATATCTCGTCTCGAAGTGTTTCTGTTGGCGGAAAGCCTGTTCGCCAACAATGGACGCAAGGCGATACCTCAAACTATCGATAGTTCAAACAATTAATATTCTTTTCATAAATTTCAGTAGAAGAGAACTCAATTCAAACGCGAATTTTGTGTGTTAAGTAATAGCAGAATTGCTGAATTAACTGATATCAAGATTGGGTTAGCTGAGCTTTTTCTCTTAATCATCTGATTTGCCCACTAGCGGATCCAGGATTTAATTTTGGGGGGAGCTTCAGCCCCAAAGATTTTTCTTTCAAATATATAACGATAATTAATTTGAAAAAAAAGAAAGAAATTAACTACCTATATGAAATGGTGTTCAAGTGATTCTTGAAGTCCTATTAAATGTAATTACACGAACAATAAGATTTTAAGAGATAGTTTTTAATATTTTTTTCCATAAATCATGGTTATATTTTACTCTTTTGGGGGTGCTTCAGCCCGAAAGTCCCTCCCTCCCCCGTACATCCGCCCGTGGACCTGCCCCATAATTAGCTATCACTTTGAATTACTGCTCTAGCAGATCTACAGAGGTGAGCTTTCGTGCTAAAGCCCCCCAAAATGGAAAAATAATTTTTGTTTTCATTGGTCCATATTTGCTATTGTGAGTGATCTAAGCCAAGTACTTCAACAATAACAATATCTTCTATTTTATAATTATAATCCATAAACAGGTTCTGATTCCCAGATGCAGAATGACTCCATGCATATACTGATGGTTCTCCACTGTAAGCAAGGAAACATGCCGGAGATGGAGTTCATTCAAAGGAATTTCAACTTGTCTGCCCATTCAGAAGAGTAGCGACAAACTTTGAAGTGGAAGTGAGACCCATTCTCTTGGCCCTTGAGAAATTGGTTGAATGGAAAGAAAAGAAATTCATTTTCTATGTTTACTCCCAGGCAGCCATTTTTTCTCTCCAAAATAGATATAATATGCCATGACCTTAAATGCCATCTGTATTTGTACTGATTATAAGAAAACAGGACAGAAGTAGCTTTCCAGTGGATACCTGGCCATTACGAATTCCACAGATATGAAGAGGCTAACAGAATGGGTTCAGGAATGATCCAACCAGATATTCCAGATAAGAATAATAAATAAGACCCTCCAAAGTTCAATGAAGGGGAAATATACTGGAAAAATTATAGAGAAGCGATGTACTGGATTTCTGAAGTAAGTTGCGGGATCCCAAGAGACCTCCCTAAAGGGCAACCAGTGGCATGCTTTAGAATTGTTACAGGAGATTATTTCCTTCAGAAGCACCTCCACCTCATCGGTATAAAAATAGCCTGACCTGTCCTCTGTCCTCTTGGATAGTATGACTGGAGAACATCTTGATACATGCCCTACATTACACCACATAACATGTGCTTTTAGTGAAACAAACAACTCCTATGCTAGGAGAGTGAAATTATATAGACCACAAGATTGCAAATGGCTGATCAAGCAGGTGTTATTGAGGAATAGGAAAAAGAAAGTATTTTAAACTCAATTTTTTTTTTTTTTTTAAATCATGTTATCTCATTGAATAACTTGAACCATCAAACTTAAAAAGTAGTACAGCTCCTCAAACTAACGAAAATATTGTGATTGTTTGTGTATTTGACCCAGATTATAAATGGAATCAAATATAGACCAATGAAAAATAAATTACTTTTCTATTTCTACTTCACCTCCCCATCCTTGTGTCCATTGACACTACGCTGCTATGCTCTTATCATGTTCAAAGGAAGATGAGACTATTTTCAGACAGAAGCAAATAATTATTCTTCAAGATTAGTATATTTTTTTTAATAATTCAGAACTGTCATTAGAGTAAATATTGTGTTTATATTTACTGTATACAAGATGGTCCATGTTGATTAAACTTGTTTAATCTTTTGGGATTATAAATGTTCCAGAAAATACGAGACCCGAAGGAATTTATATGCAGCTACGACCAGAAAACTCAGAAAGAAAGTATGTTGCCTAATTTTTTTAATATATCGAGACAGATGTGAGTCGTTCAAGCTGGTTTTAGTTCTATATTTGTAGTGCTTTCAGACCTAGTTATGTAGAAACTTTTTTATTTCAGGTTCCATAACATAGCAAAGTCTAAATGTATATGCGATCAAATTGAAATGAACTGCAAATAAAATGAAAAGGATATAATAGAAGCAATTTATAGAATGTACCTAAAGTAGAGGAAATTTTAAGTGATAGCAGATCTTAAGGGCTACAAAAAAATTCATATAAACAATGGGCCAATTTTCAGAAGAAAATCCAAGGTTTGTGTTTTTCAAGTGTCATAGTTTTTGTTGAATAGGAAGCGAAAACTAATGAAACATTTAATTTACGTGATTAACGACTGCTTCAATGTAAACTAGACAAAATTTACTTCAAATGAAGATAGAGTTCTGTTTTAAAAAAAAATTTTAAATTATTCGTGATTATGTTTTATCATCATTCAAATGTACTACAGATTTCCCACTTTTAGAGAAACTTCCTCATATATTAAGCTTTATGTCCATATTAATCTAGTGGAGATTTACTCAGGAAAAAATTAAGACTCATCTCGAGTTGTGTAAAAAAATGTAGTGATTTTTTATCCTGTCCACTAATAGTACCCATGTTTTCAGCAAACATTACTACAATTAATTGTTGCAAAGCTTTTATTTCATGTTTTTGCATGATCTTGGATGTATTATAATGTAATTGCCTAAATAAATATTTTATTCATAAAAATGAAATGTTAAAAATAATGATTTTTTCGATTATTTATTATCTAAAGTGTTTTTACTAAGATTTCTATTATAGGAATTGTTCCACAATTAAAAGTTAATTAAATAAATGTTTCTCATCTTAATATTTACGTTTTAAAAAATGAAACCTGCTGATTGCTTCAATTATTTTCATAAAAACTAAAATATTAGTACCAGAAACTTAATAAATTTGTCACTTATAAATATGGATCAATTCCTACAACAGATATCTGGGTGAATACAACACAGTTCGATAACCACTTTACATGAAAAATATTATACATATTAATAAAAAGTGTATTTAGGCAATTATGTT